TGTCGTGGTGTGAAAGTATCGGCAGTTTTGCCTCACTTTTATTTCGAATGACTTGAAAAGCACTTTTTATTTTGTTGGTGCCGGCCAGGCCTTCCCCAAAGATAAATTTGCTCATTGATTTAAATATTCACAGAACGAATTAGGAAGCAAAGCATCCTTGTTTGCAGATTTGATGTTGCGCAGTACAAACCCGAGGAAGTGACTGTGAAAACAGTTGACAACAGACTTCTCGTGCACGCCAAACATGAAGAAAAAACGCCGCAGCGCACCGTATTCCGGGAATACAACCAGGTTCACTCACTTGCCCTTTTAGTACCGCTCTGTGCGCTAGCTTTGACTCATATAACCTGACATACACAACCAAAAGTATTGCGCTGTTCAGCTACTGGCGCTGTTGGCAACATCCGCGCTGCGTAACAAACAGCCTGTTCCAAACGTATTATTATGCGTAACCTTAGATGTATTATTTCCACTACTTCCGAATGCTGTGTGCAACTAGTATTGTTAAAAATAAATTTTTTGCAGGAGTTCATGCTACCGCGTGGAACAAATCCTGAACTGATTAGCAGCACTCTGAGCACGGATGGTGTGCTGACAGTTGAAGCGCCGCTGCCACAGCTAGCTATTCAGCACTAATCCGCTTAAAGCACCCGGTGATTTTTACAACCAGAAACATTTTGCACGAGTACGACACACATCTTTTCCGGCTTTTTTTTTTTTTTACTCTTCCGGGCAGCAGTGGCCAACGGCAGTCCTACGATGACTGAGATCTGTGAAACAAAGCCCAAAACATATGGTACTTCTTACGCATGAAACTTCCAATGATATTTAAGTACGTATATGTGTGCAGTAGTAATTTGAACGAATAAGTAAACCAATTAACAAAACGACGAGTTGGATTGCAGCATGACACTACTCACTTGTTGTTGCTAAAGAAAATAGAATCTGAAGTTCCGATTCAGAGGTTTCAGAAAGAAGAACTCAGATGGTCCACTGGTCACAAGAATTTTCCTGTCTTGTTCGTCTGGGTTCTCAGAAAGCAAGGCTTCAAACTTGGGTAATATA